AGATATTAACAGTTGAAGATCGAAATTCAACTTTGTTATTAAGCATTATTTTGCAATTACTGAATATTCGAGGTTATGAGAACAGGTTGACATTTGGAAAGTACGTTCCGCAGTCAATAAATCTTGTTGAATTTACCGTTTATCCTTGTCTATCTTATTGCCACTCAGTATAATTCCATGGTTAACGGAGTTTCAAATAATTAAGCAACAGGTATTTGCGCAATGTTAATTAGGCAGGTTACCTTGAAAAACATTGCTGCCGTATTTCCGATATAGTTTTTTGCAAGCTTCTCAGTTTTTAATAACATTTAATTTCTTTTACTATTTTTTCTGCACTCCTATAACAGCGCCGGACAACACCTCCAGAGGAATGTCGCCAATTTTGAATCACTCTGTATATCTATAAAAAAGTAATATTCTACTGTTGACATAAATAAAATAGTAAGCTGGCGCCAAAAATAAGGGCCAATCAGCGCCCACCTTAAAGATGGAGCTGTAAAGGCCAACATGACATGAAAAATAATATATCAACATGGAGGAAAAGAAAATGAATCCTTAAAAACTCAACAAAAAACGGCACATTTAAACGCTCACGGCCGAATATGCTACAATCTAAATGCCACTCTGCCAGGCCAGCAACAAAGTCGTTGCATACTTGAATGAATACATTGACTTAGATCAATCGGTAATGCAGGACTTATTGATAGTGGATTGATGTGAGTGATTGGAAGTAGATGTATTGGTCTGTCACATACAGAAAGAGAAATAATAAGCTGAAAATAATCGTTGAGTATTGCTTTTATTGCTTGAATATGCTTCAGTCATCATTCCCGGCATCATAGCTGGGGGGTGTGTTTGCAGATTACTTTATCTTAGAAATTTTACCTTCTTGCAATCCATTAGACTGGTGATTGATGGCCGCTGATTTGGTTTTGTTTATTAATTACTGGTTCGAGATTTATTGCATTGCTTCTGCGTATATGACATCATATCAACAAGAGCTAACATATATGTATGTGCAACTAATATCATCATCTAAGTAGGTACTTAATTCTAAAGCAGTGCATATGTTACCAAAATCAGCAACATCCGCATCAACGAGTCAGTACACACAATTACAAATGTACCAGAAAACAATTTAAATTCTGAAATATAAAATTTAAACATTTTTGCTTAAAATTATTTTTTTAGGAATCATTCTAACGTTAATAGGTAACATATTATAGAACTGATGGGTCAGCTAATTAAAAAATCTTAAGTTAATATTTTTTTATTTTTTTTATTTATTAAACAGGACATTTACTAACATTACGATCTGATCAAAGTTGATCAATTCTGTTCTAACCTAACTTAACTATGGATAAATCTTCAAACTAAGGTCCTACTCACTAGTGTACCTTAGAGTCTGGTGGTCTAGTGACATAGCTACACGAATTACCGTGCAGCACAAAACCGCACAATGTTCTGCTTCTGCACTGACATAGTCACTTATATAGCTCAAAAGGCTTTACCCTCTTGAGTCTTCTTGTGAGGTTGGTATTGTCGAGAAGCTGAATCGCGTGATAGTCTGGTCAACAGTATCCATCTGAAGGTCTCGATGAATATCACTATTCCTGATGTACCAAGGCGCATTAAGAATGTTTCTCATTACTTTATTCTGACATCTTTGTATAATTAGGATGTTACTCTTGCTAGCACAACGCCAGAACAGTAAGCCGTAAGTCCACACTGGTTTGAGGATTTGTTTATACAGAAGTACTTTGTTGTAGGTTGATAGTGTCAGTGCCTACCCAGTAGCCAGTACATTTTCCTATATCTTATATCGAGCTCTTTCTTTTTTTTTAACATGGGCTTTCCAGCGCAGTCTTGCATCCAATGTTGTGCTCAGATACTTTGCTGAGTTTGCATAAGGGATCGGAGCATTATTTAAGTGAATTGGTACCTGCTGGTTAATTTTATTTGTGAAGTAAATTTTATCAATACTTTCGTCATGCCTGAATGAAAGCATGAACATGTTTAGAGGTTGTTTTGTTTTATATTTTAATTTAGGAGTGACTTCGATAAGTTTGTAGCCGCGTTTTCTAATTTCATGCAGTATTTTTTCTGGGTCAATGGAATGATACAGTTTTTTGGCCATAACTTTAATTGGCCTATTCTGCTTATTTTCATAGGAATGCCAAGAGTATCCAGTTTTCAGTTACCGTTGCAGTAAGCATTTTATAGTTGGTCTCATCCTGTACATTCATTTCAATATTTTCATCATGAATTACTTTAATCTGGGCACCAGGAAGTTGGGTCACGATAGCATGGAGTTCATTAAAATTTATGATATTATCCACTATGATAGGCGGCGGTGCCATTTTGTAGGCTTTTCTACATTCGGCCTATTGGTTTGTTGTTGTGGTGGTGTAAGCGAAGTATCCATTTTCCTTTTCTTCAAATTTTTTGTACGAATTCATTCTGTCTCCCTTGCTAACTCCTTTTCATCGGTATGATGTTCACCTGTCTTCCTTTCTTCGGAGTTGCTAGGCAGTTTCTTTTCTATATTTGAATATTTTGTGTTCAATTCTTCATACATTTTATGTATTTTATCCAACTGGGATTGTAGTTGTTCCACCTTGTATGTAGCATTTATTTTTTCTTGCTCAGCTGATTTCCAGCTATTGTCTAAAATTTCCTCATTTTGGGTACGTTGATATTTTTCTAATAATATCTAGCTTGTTTGCATTGCTGGGGACTAATAAAATGCATTCCCTTTATCAGTGTTTTTTAAATATCTCGCGATAACTTAAACGACCTTGGCACTTGGCACTTTGAGTTATTATTTCGTATCATACGATGCTTATTGACTTCTGGTGTTATAAGGATGATTTACCGTTACAATAGAGGATAGGGGACTAATAAAATGCATTCCCTTTATCAGTGTTTTTTAAATATCTCGCGATAACTTAAACGACCTTGGCACGGTCGCCGGACACCACTCGCCGAGGATGATATCCTTTAATATCAATTTTATTCACGATAAGAAAGCGAACGAATCACTTGTTCACTGTTCAAACGTCGAGAACTTACTTAAGTTAATATTTGAGTTATTATTTCGTATCATACGATGCTTATTGACTTCTGGTGTTATAAGGATGATTAACCGTTACAATAGAGGATGACTTTGTAAAGACATACAGGCAAACATATGTAAGTTCTAACACTTGAATCATCCTCAGAATACAAAAGGGCCGTCGAATACCGTTTATTCTTTCCAAATATAACTTTAAGGATATAATTCTGAACCACTTTCAATTGTTTAAGAGAATTACCATACAGGCCACCCGAGACAATAATTCCATATCTCATCAGGGAGTCCACCAACGCTCTGTAAACCATTAGCAGGATTTTTCTGCTTAAAATATGCCTTTAAGTGTGAAGTCTAGGAATAAGTCTTCGTATGTTGTTAGCAAGATTGTTAGCAATCAATTGTGATACCCAAATATTAGGTGGATTCCACAGAGAGCCTCCACACCAGAAACCGATTCAATTATTTGCTAAATTATATTTACTGAAGACTTAACTCTTAAAATCACTCTAATTTGTTGTTGATTCCAATCGTTCTACCGTTATAAAATTGTTAATTTTTTTTTAAATACATCAGTTGTTCAGTTGAATTTGAGTATGCCTGATTTTGTGTTGACCATTAAGCGTTTAAAGTCTTACTTGGTAGCCGCAAAATAATAGCTCTTGCTCTATCTCACGCCCGAGATAAATACAACCATTTTCGAAATAAAATTCAAAGCAATAGTGAAAATTCAACAAAGCATGAAATTAGTCATAAAAATTGAAATACCCTTTAAAATTTCATCTTTATCCAAATGAGGGAAGTCTTTGAAAAGTAGAAGCCATTGAGGATCCATCCGATGGAGTTTTGAGGAAAAAAATCCAAGTCAAGGAACACAAATAAAAGCCAATTATCCAATTGCAAAGTCTCTTGTTATGTGGTTTATTCAATCAATTTAAATTTCAACAGTGTTTTATTGCGACTAGATGGAAAATATTGGACGAACTGTGACCTAATTTATGAACGGTTTTGGCAAATATCTCAGTTTTGAGCATCAGTACATTTTGTTCACTAATTTCCTCTTGCTTTTGCAACAATGGTCCGCAAACCCTCCTGCTAAATCACGCCCATTTTGAATCACTCTGCATATAAAAACACTATTTGGTTATTTTGCACTATTCTCGTGTGTGTGTCTCGTCGCTGAAGATAATTTACTTTGTGAAGTCACCATTAACTTCTGCCAGTTCAATCAACCATTCGGGGTATTGGCGACGCTTGAAATAGTTAGTAGGCTTCAGCTCTTGAGTCAATTGAACCTTGTAAGCGTGTAAATTAAAATCGTTATTAAAAATTCGCATCAGTGATGTTCGGCAGATGTCCACTTGC